GACTGGGGCAGTTATCATCCCCCTGTCCTGGGCACTGGTGAGGCCCCACCTTGAGGGTTGTGTCCAGTTTTGGCCCCCTCACGCCAAGAAAGGCATTGAGGGGCTGAAGGGTCTGGAGCACAAGTCTTGTGAGGAGCAGCTGAGGGAGCTGGGGGTGTGCAGCCTGGAGAAAAGGAGGCTGAGGGGAGACCTTCTCGCTCTCTCCAGGGGAGGTCGGTCTCTTCTCCCAAGGAACAGGCCATGGGACAAGAGGAAACGGCCTCAAGTTGCACCAGGGGAGGTTCAGATTGGAGATTAGGAACAATTTTGACATGGAAAGGGTTATTAAGCCTTGGAATGGGCTGCCCAGGGAAGGGTCCCTTCCAACCTAGCAATTCTATGAGTCCATGATACCATTTTCCATGGAAACAGAAAAAGGGAACTGTTAACACCTGCACTTCACTGTGATTGCTACGAGGCACATATACCTGGCAGTAAATTAAAGCATACCTAAATTAGAGTGATTTCATTTGGGCATGAAATGCTACATATCCAAAACTAGAAGTTTCTTACGGCAGCAACGGTAGAATTACTGCTGTTAATTATTACCCACTCTTGCTTGCCTGACCCTCTCTCTCCACTTCTCATCAGGACCATAAAAATCCCTGTTTAATCACTTCAAGCAAAGTTCCATCAGTATTTATACCTTATAAAGGACTGGAAAAATATTTCACTTTTCCCATGAAATATTTCAAAACTAAATTGAAATTTACCCCCATTTCTTGGGGAGGACAAAATAAGATTCCCAGTAATGAAAAGAAATAAAGAGCTGAGTACATACATACAGAAAAAAAATCAATTCTGTAGTGTTAAATAGTAGCAGAAAAGAGTAGCTACTGCTTTGCATGTCTAAACCCTCATTCTCATCCATGAAAATGAAGAAAACAAAAACAAATTTAAAGAGGCACTGCTGCATAAATATGCATCCACCTCTGCTTTTTGTGAGAAAAGTTTCACTGCAATATTTCCCCGCAGTTAGCAAAGAAAGTGGTTTTTGGACAATCAGCATGTCTTCTTCTCCTTGGAATTTCTAATCAGGACTTCTGCAGAATTAAATCACAGGGACTGTCAGCAATGTGTCCAGAGCCCTGAACGAACACAATTCTAATTCCAGGAGTGTATTAATGTTGTAAATTAATTTGGCATTCATTGTGATGTGTCTGATCAGGGCAAACTACTTTGTTATTGTGTGTGTGTGTGTGTGTGTGTGTGTGTGTGTTCAGAGGTATTGTCTGTCACCACAGCTATTGAAAACACTGTTAAAAATGTAATGAAGTCTACCAACCTCCCACTTTTACATTTTAAACAACAGTAAATGACTCCCCTTTCGTTTGGAAGCTTGGGTTGATAACAGTACCAGCTTCAGTTTCGCCCACTCCACAGAATCTCAAATTTCTGGTTTGGTACTAGCTACAACTCATCTTCTCTGCCATTTTTACAGATATACAGGTAAATATTTATCTTTTTAATATTTTCACAGTATTTAAAGTTGTTGCAAGTCCATTCTCTTTCTCCCAGTCTGCTAAACACATTCCATGTTCAGCTAATCAGTACAGCCAAAGAACTGTATTTCCAAGACCTTATTTTCACTCTGGGAACTGTTTCAAAGCTGTTAGTGCCTAGTGCCTGGCACACTGAGCAAAATAAATAAACACATAAATAAATTATTACTTCTAAACAAGCACAGTTTCTGAGAGGTCTCTAACAATCGTTTCATGGAAATATAGTTACCTAAGCTGAAATTGTGTATCTCGGGGATAACTCCATACCAAACAGCTCCAAATATCAGTCATTACTCACTATACCAGAGATACCGGTATTTGGGCAGTGACTCGGGGATTCACAGAATCACAGAATGGTCAGAGGTTGGAAGGGACCTCTGGAGATCACCCAGTCCAAGCCCCTGCCAGAGCAGGTCCACCCAGAGCAGGTCCCACAGGAACGTGTCCAGGTGGGTTTGAATGTCTCCAGAGAAGGAGACTCCACCACCTCTCTGGGCAGCCTCTGCCAGGGCTCTGCCACCCTCACAGCAAAGAAGTTCCTCCTCATGTTTAGAAGGAACTTCCCATGTTCCAGTTTGGTGCCCGTTCCCTCTTGTCCTGTCCCTGGGCACCACTGAGAAAAGCCTGGCCCCATCCTCCTGACACCCACCCTTTCAGTATTTATAGGTGTTGATCAGATCCCCCCTCAGCCTTCTCTTCTCCAGACTAAAAAGATCCAAGTCCCTCAGCCTTTCCTCATCAGGAAGATGTCCTAGTCCCCTCATCATCTTTGTAGCCTCTGCTGTACCCTCTCCAGCAGTTTCCTGTCCTTCTTGAACTGGGGGGCCCAGAACTGGACACAGGACTCCAGTGTTTGACACTCAGAGATGAGGATGTGCCAATGGACATGGCTGGTGAGGATGTCATCAGCTACATTGTCTTTTACTCTGAGTCTTTAACATAGCTCTTCAGCTGGGGCAGAATAAAACACCTATCAATTCCTTTTCTGTGTGTGAATTAATCTCAGCAAAGGGGAGGAGACCCTGCTGAGTTCATTATATGGAATACTATAATACGTTTGTCTCTAAAACTGCATTACATTAACTGAGAATAATGCAACCTTTATTCTTTCATACATCTATTAGTTTAATAAGCCATTAAAATGTCTCATATTTAAAGCGTACAATGAGGAGACCTATAGTCTCAGCTTTAGAAATCATCCAAATACCTTACAAGTGCTAATAGCACTCTCAACACGAGAAACCTAGCCTTTCATTTATTTTTAAATTCCCCTTTCACTGTGTTCCATAAAACACATTTATTTACCAAGGCAGCAGGAGAAATCAAGTACTCTGTTAGGAAAGACAAAACGAGAATATCCATGTTGGATAATACCCTGCTCCTGATCAGATCCCAGGAAATTCCACTCATTTTGACACGGGAGTCACTGGTTCAGCCTTGCCCCTTTTCACCTGCGAAGCCCAAACCATTAGAAACCCCAGCAGATGCACGCCCAGAGGACCAAGGCAAAGCAGAAGAGGGTTACAGAGCTATAACTACTGTCTATTGCAGACCAACCTCAGCCATTCTGTTTTTCTCCTCTCAGAAATGGACTGCATCTAATTGCTTCTGTGTGATTGGCTCAGGAACAACACACATAAATCTGTAAGACATCGATATGAAATCATGCTTGCATAATCTTGGCACACTCATAAATAAAACCCTTCGCCAAATGGAAAGTCACTGTCAGTAGTTTCCAGACAGATGTGATTTTCTCAGATCCATTATTTTTGAGAGTGTTCTATCAGGATTCTGGCCTGATCCTTTATTTCTATAGACGATGAATAATTTCAGTAATATTCTTTTAACGCGACTTTTGAGGCTCTGTTACTTTGATTTTTCCATCATTCTATGTTGCATAACTATTCCCATTGAACTAATTTAATAAGGTATATCACAGTAGAGCAGCATTTTGGCTGATTAAGGCTGTATCAACAGTATTAAACCATCTCTTTCACTGTTCTTTGAAAGTAACTGCATGTAATACTATATAACTGCTGGTATAACTAAATGTGTGTTTCATGGTTGTGAGGATTTTAGTCTATCTGTTGGTTCAGTCGGTCTCATGGCTCAGCACTGCTAGCAAGATGAAAAAAAAAGATCCTATGCTGTAACACTCTGGAGAAATTACAGTTGGTGAGGCAAAAAGCAGCTTTTTCACGCAACAAAAGACTGTAGTACAACAGGCCTGAAAAAGCTCAGCAGCTCTTAAAGTGTCTTTTAGACAAAAAAGACAGATAAAGGGATAAACTGGACTAACACCAACAAAAACTTGAATCAGTCAGACTTTCTCTGTCAAGTCTCGGACAGGAAAACTGTTCTGCAGCATTTGCCTTAAATTCAACTCATTGTAGATTACCTTCTTTCTCTTTAAGCTTAACATTTTAAAAATGCACTAAAGATTGCCTTTGCAGATTAATGCACTCCACACCCCGACTAATTCAGTCCTTCTTCACATTTCATCCTGGGAATCATTGCCAAGTTGAGGCTTCCACTTTTCAGTTTCCAGGCTCTGCATCACTGACATCTTGTCCCTCCTTCCTCCAGCAGCATTCTCTCTCTAGAATCCACATGGATTATGGGAAGTCCTTCACCTCACGGATGCAGAAACACCTACATTTTGGCCTTTTAGTCTCCCAGAAACTGTGGGACATGGCACCTCTTAGGGCCACCTGCTTCTAGGACTGGAGCCCTCAATATAAGAAGGACATGGACCTGATGGAGAGGGTCCAGAGGAGGGCCACAAGGATGATCAGGGGGATGGAGCACCTCTGCTACGAGGACAGGCTGAGGGAGCTGGGGTTGTTCAGCCTGGAGAAGAGGAGGCTCCGGGGAGACCTAATAGCAGCCTTCCAGTACCTGAAGGGAGCCTACAGGAAGGCTGGGGAGAGCCTGTTTAGAAAGGCCTGCAGTGACAGGACGAGGGGCAATGGCTTCAAGCTGGAGGGGAACAGATTTAGACTGGAGATGAGGAGAGGGTTCTTCACTGTGAGGGTGGTGGAGCACTGGAACAGGTTGCCCAGGGAGGTTATGACATTCCTTCAACCTTTCACAGCCCCTGACACGAAAAGACATATGCATTCACATGGCTACACCAGCCCCACACGGGCCCACAGAGCCGCGCCGTCCCCCTTCACCTCAGAGGGCTGACGGGAAGTGCGGCCCCCCCCCCCCCCCCCCCAGGC